TGTCGAAATCATTGAGATCGTCACCTGCCAAGTGCCTTCCGCTCTCTTGCACGCAAACTGCTGACCAAGCCGCTGCAGAAGGCTTGCCATGCCTGAGCTCAGGATACGGGGAGGTGTGTGGTTTCTCCAGCAACGTGCCAGCACAAGAAGAAGCATGGTTGAGGCAAGATACAGTCCACAGCATTGTCGTTCTGTGCATCTGCTATGGCCTTTTGCTTTGCTAAAGCGGCCGGAAGCATGGCAATGCAATCGGCAAAGTCCTGACGAGCCAAGTGTTCAAGGATGTCAGCAGAGCAGCTCCGTCCTGCGCAGCCTTGCCACTGTGGCTAGACATCAGCGCCAAATCCTCACCAGAAGCTTCGTGAGCCCGGGAACGGCGATGCTTTGAGTTCGAGCGAGACCCTGCCTCGAAGAAAGAGCAGCCACGAAGACCGGCGACTTGGACTTCCTCCAAGACCTGCGCAAGCCGCCGACGCCAGCCAGCCCCTTGCCTTTTGGCCACGGCCTGGAAGGAAGGCGCCAAGAGGTACAGCAGGTGCTTGGGGAACAAGCTGCCAGGCTTGACAGCCATCTCCAGCGGAATCCGGCTGTTGCCTCAGGCTAAGCTTGTTTTAAGGTTACCCTATGTGTGACCAACAGCCAAATCCCCAGCCCTTCGATCCTAAAATCCGTGTGCTGAGGGCTTGCTTAGTGATTACTCAGTGGCCTGGCTTGGCCCCTGACGGCCCTGGAGATCTTCGGTGCCCTGTTCCACAGACGCACGGCTGCGGATGAGGCATCTTACCACATCCTGCGACCACACGTCACATAACATGCCATGCCACGTGCTAGAAACAGACATGTGGTTCAAACCCAGGGCATGCGGCACATGCAGACTTGCGACATGTGCAAGGTGAGCAGTCCTCAACATCTGAGTCATCGTCCATGCCTCTTTGGGCAAGCCAGTGCAGGGCGGTGTAGCCTTCCATGTTTTTCACCTGCTGAAGCTCCGGGTGCGCAAGACCGGCATGGACTGAATTCGGGTAAGCCACGGAAGGGTCCGCTTTCTGCTCCAGAAGCCAAACTGCCGCCTCAGGGTCGAGGCAACGCTGGAAATCCCGAGTGACCCTTGTCCCCTCGGCTTCAAATCGCTGCCTGGGCCTTGCCATTGAACACGGCATCGTGCAGCGCACAGTAAAAATCCCGCTCGCCGCAAAGACCTTCACAAAATATGTGGTCGGCCCAGCGCTCAGTAAGCAAACTGCCAAGGCACAATATCTATCTATGATATCGATGTCTTGCGACTGCGCGTGATCCAGGATCATCGCCATTGCCGGTATGCAACCTGCGAAGCCATGGCTTTGCTCTTGGGTTGCCTTGAAACCGCCAGCCGCACGGATCGAAGAAATTGCTCTCTGCCCCCAAACGCCCGTTGTGTCATGGGCCCATCGGAGATATGTCATTCCAAATCGCAGCGCAGCTGTCGCAGCAGTCAGGAATTGTGTGCCAAGAGGAGCAAAGCGCTGATGTTCACAAGTTTCATTTTAAAAAATAGGTCGCGGCGCAGACGAGTTTCTGCAGCCAAATTTGCACAGTTTGACCCTCACATAACCCTTTTTGTCTCCATTGGCTTCTGGTAGTAACCTGATTTGATCCGGGGTAGTCGCAGTTGTAGAACTGAGGCCATGGCCCAGCCCAGCTGCTATGTGCAGTGCCGGCAACTGCACGACCTGAGGATTCGTCCGCGCGCAGGCACGTGGGCCCGGCGATCGAGGCTTGGCTTGATCTGGCCTCGTTCTTGCGCATGTAGGTGGCGCAGCTATTGGGCTCTGCTTTGGCCCACCTTGACTCCAAACCCGAGAGGCCAATCAAATTTTAAGCAGCTTCGGGCACGAAAACGCCAACCACTGATGGCGAGGCACAAGAGGACACGCACATCCTCGAGCGGTATCAAGGGCAAAACCGGCAAGGCTCACATCTAACACCTTCGCTTCACCTTCACTACCTGTCATTCAATCCTCGGCATCCAGTGCGCCGATGCTTGAAGCCACCCAAATGGCAAAGTGGAGAGGCCTAACGCGGCGCGTCTGACACGAACTCGGCTCGGCCAAAGAAGCTTGCATGTGGCGTCGCTTGCTATCAAGCCGTCGGCCCGCCTTCCTTTTAAATTTCTCCCTTTGTAGACAATAAGGTCCTCGTACCTTGCGAAATGCGGGCACATCGAACATGATGCGTCGTGCCCGTCTAGGTAGCACTTACAGCTTCTGTGTTGTGCTCAGGGTGTTCAGCTTTGTGAAACGATCCAACCTGATCTCTTGGTCCATGAAGTCTGTCGGCCTGCCAACCCCAACGCATGTTTTCTGGCCAAAGCTGCTCCTCCTCGATGGCTTCGAGCACATTGTCGCACAACTCCGGAGTGATGCTTTCCCTGAGGTGCATCACTTGACAAACCGTCCATTTGCGAGGTTCAAAAACCTTGACGTAAAACTTTGGCTTGCGTGCTATCAACTTTTCCTGGACTCCAAGTGCAGCCTCGCAGCAAGTCACACTCTCCGTGAAACTCTTCCAGCGTAGCAGTTGTCCCGGATCGCCCAAACTGCCAGGCCAAGGCGGGCCGCGCACACGGCACGTGAGTCAACCCCCCAGCACCGTAACATGCACGGGAGTTCTCGCCCAACAAAATGTCCCACTGCCATTTTTTGGGCAATCATCGTGATCGGAACGTTGAAAACTCCCCGTTCCAGGAGCGCGAATGCTGAGGGCTCTTTCGAGCAAAGGGTTCGAAAAGGTGGGCCTGGGGCGCAAGAAGCCCTGGACATGTTGACTAAGCCCTCGGTCCGGCGGGGGCGTTGTCTTCTGATGGCATGTTTGAAGACATGCGTGGGGTGGATTTGTTAGCGTTTGATGAGGTTTGGGCTGTTCTGGGGGGCGGGGGATTGAGGGGGGGAGAATTGTTGGCTTGGTGTGCCTAACGTCACCGAAGATGTTTCTGTTGGCAATCCAGTCAGCACCTGTTCTTCAACAACCGCCCGCAACAACCTCGACCCCTTGTCGTCGATGCATAGGCATGCTGCTGCCGACTGTCAAGATGCCCCGCAAGCCCCTGTTGCATAGGGCACTGGGAACCACGTGAAACCGCATCCTCTCAAGTCAAGGGATATCCTCTAGTCTGCAAATGTCTGTAGTCTGTCTTTCTCGGCCCATTGCAAGCAAAGCTTTTCTCGCAGTTTATTCAAGGTGCGCAAGAATTTCGAGAATACATGGGCGAGCTAAAGTGGGCCATCTACTTGCTTTGTAGGAGTTTCTATTTGTTCTGCTCTGCGGCCAAGATCAGGGCTTTGCCACTGTGCAAACGCAAGGCATGATTCCCAGCATGCCTCCCCCCTTCCGGCTGCCAAATGTTGCGCGAGGTTAGGCAACTTCCCACACAGCCCATCCTGACCCCATGAAGGGTCAAACATCTCCAAGCCTCTTTGCTTACCTGCTCCATGTAATTGTGGTGCAGGCTAGCCAAGAATTGGGCACCTCAATGCGAATGGACAGACGACACGGCACGTGCCCGGCCTGCAGCCATGCCCGCCCGCACAGTTGAAAAGGTGCGCATGTGCACCAGTCATGCAAGTTGTGCACGTAAATGCCAGTTCCTGGTTGTCATAACCTTGCTGATGTGACGTGGGGAAGGCTTCAATCCAAGTGGTCCCTGTCTTGAATCAAGGCACAAGCCAGGTGCTGAGGCAGCTCCATGTGGTCGAACTGGGCAGACGCAACCACCTCGCACAAGCGCTTCGACGAACCAACTTAGCTCGCCCCGTCGGCTCAGTCAAGTCGCCTGACTGCTGCTTGCCCGGTCCTCAGCGGAAAAAGGCTCGACCCCATGCCGCGAGCATGAGCTCGGGGCATTGAGGAAGCTGGACATTCTGCATTGCTGCCATGACTGCCCGGAGTGTGAGGGTGTCCTGGGGTGGAAAAGACTGGCGCCAAAAGCCCTGCCAAACCCATACAACATGAGCAGCTCAGTACTAGCTGAGCTACCCTTGTAAGCTGCTGCTAGGGCCAACAAGAGTAAGGAGCATCAACTGGCCTGGCACGGCATGCCACTCAACCAGCATCCACTCAACAACTACCCTGCTTGCCCTGCCTCTCCAGCCGCTAAGGTGGTCGCTGATTCGTGACTTCTGAAGCTATGCTTTGTAGTCTACACTGAGGGAAGAAAAAGAAACTCTAAGGCTAGCCTTTGGGCTCTAAGGCCTGCTTTCGCAGACAGCCCACCGGCTTGGCCGGGGGGCCTGGCCGCACGCGAAATGGACCAAGGCTGGAGCGGCCAACCAAACAGCGTGTCGATTTGAAGGAAGAAACGTTGAGGCCGGCTTCTGCTCTGCTCATTCGGGAGCTGTGCACGTGCCTTTTCTTTGGCAAGGTCTTGGTCCAAAGCGAGTAGCCGCGCAAGCACTACAGGAGACAAGATTTGCTTCAGCTTGCAATCCTGAAAGGAATTGGAAAGGCTCAATCAGATCTTGTCTCCAACTTGAGTAATTGGCACCGCGCAAAGCCGCACACCCTATAGATTCTAGATCGACGTTAAAGAGCAGCTCTCTCTCTCTCTCTCTCACCTTGTGGTTGATCTTCATCGCCCAAAAACTGGTCTAAATGGATGTGTCATGGTCCTCTTGGTTTCCCGTTAAAACCACAAAAACCAAAACAAACGGACGAAAAGACGGACCAAATGTTCCGTATGCCATGCGAAATGACATGCGCCACCGATTTCCCTTTCAGCCTGGCAAGCCGAAATGGCTACGGAACGCACTCCACATGTGTTTGTTCTTCTTGATGCTTGTTGGGTGGATTTAAAGGGAAGCGGCAAGGAAAACATTGGCGCCATTTGGGGGTTCCCTGAAGGAAAAACAAAAAGCACGGCCAACAGGACCTCTCAGAAACGACAGACTCAAGACTCAAGTATTTCGGCGTCCGACTTCAGTCAATCATCACGTTGGCGTTGCCCTTTGCCGTGCTGAGTTGCAGGCGCCCGTTTGTCCGCTCCTCCTCCGCCATCAAGCAAACAACCTGACGAATACGGTGCAATGTTTGAGACGGTTCAAAGAAGCACTCTCTTTGGTTGCTGTAACGACCCCTCTGCAAAAAGTTGTTCACTTTTTGTGGGCCCCCTCTGGAAAATCCGACCTTCGACCAAAAATTGTTAAACTCCAAAGCCACCAAATTGCCATAAAGTCTCCCCACACCCGCACCAGCCCAGTTGCATGCGCCATCTTGGATTGCACAGGAGGTTTGGATGGCGATGCGACACAGTACAAGAGGAAACCAACAGAAATCCCAGAAAAAACGCGACAGCACAGCTAAACCAACAGGAAACCAACACCAGTGCCACGAGCAAACATCTGGGAACCTCAGGAAGATCCAAAGAAGGACACCAACACTAAACTAATACAGGCCGACCGATGGGGAAAAACGCATTGTTTTGGAGCCTGCAGCACCTTTGGCACAGGTCCAAAAAAACGGTCGGCAAGAAGCCGTCAAAACGTCCACGTAGTCATCCAGCCAGATATTCGCCCCGGGTGTGTAGATGGATTGTGCCTCGGCTGGGCGTGGACGGTCAGCTGTTTCACGGGAGCACGCATCACAAACCTACTGCCATTCTTCAGCAATCCCAGTGCCAGCAAAGCGGCAAAGGCACCTGCACAACATGACAAACTGGCAGCCGGTTTCTGCTGCAACTTGCTGCCATGCAAGACATGCATGCGAGACCGGGTAATTTCCAGTTTCAGAGCAGCCTACATCATGGAATCGAAGTACCCCACCACTCGGAAGTTGCACTTCAGAATTCCGAACGCCTCAGCGCAGCTGCATGCAACCTCAAACTGCAAACTGCAGCTACATGTTGCGTATACACAGCACATGCATGCAAGTATACGTGCTTGCGCTTACATACACACAGACACATGATATGCGTACATGTGCACGCGGGTGTGCTCATCATGCACATGCCGATGGCAGTTACTTGGCTTGTCCTGTCAACGCGTCACTTCTTCTATTTGCTAAGAAGGCAAGTTGCACTCACGGGACTGACACTTGTGTATGTGGGTACCATGATTTAAATGATGTATGGCCCCATAGACACTGAAGTGTCTTTGAATGTTGAGGGCTGTTGCGCAATCGTCCTGAGCTTTGCTTGCTCGCCAACCTCATCCACTGGGGTTGCACCATGCCAACGGGCTTAATCGCTGCTCAGCAGCATGGCTCACCAAATGCACCCCAAGAGAAGGCATAGGACCTCAATTCATTCAATGGCCACCAAACATCCGAGCGAGAGTAACTCCAAAAAGATGCAGCAAAAAAAGATGGCCACCAACCATCCAGAGCAACCCAGAAGCAAAGCAAGAGCAGCGGCCCATGGCTTGCAAACAGCGAACATCTACGCTTTGCGATGGAACGGACAGCTCGCTTTGCTGTGCTTCTGTGTCAGCCAGCTTGCAGGCAGCGCAGCTGAAGTGGAGACACTGGCATTGCTGCCGGCAAAGCGCCATCAACGGGCTTGCCTAGGCGCAGCTTGCACTGCCGACTGAGAATTTCAATGTGCCTGAAGTTGAAATTGGAGAGCGTGCACACTTACGACACTTACGGCTCAATGCCGCCCGGCAGCTCCAGTCGATGAACATGAGTCGCGTGCCGTTGGGCACAACCACCACGGCCACACGCTCAAAGCCCGCAGCTGATGCGGTCAGACTGTAAAACAGGCAATCCACCTGGCAGCTGCAGGGCCTACATTCTGCATCAACGCTTTTTTGCTGGAAAAATCATGGTGTTCCTGAAAGAGACACCAAGATTCTAAGATACTTTTGTCAATCGGCTTGCACAAAATACACCCAATATGGTCAAATATTCAGGATGTCAAGGGCTTCGAGCATGCTTTGCGTGCCTTGACGCACCTGGCACCCACATCAGGCGAAAGCTGCGCCTCCAAATCTTGGCTCCTGCGAGCAGGACGCCGACCTGACGTGCGATTTCCGGCTGGCTCTCAATCAGGACCGCCTTCAAATGCTGACCGGCCTCTGCAATGGGCCGCAGACAGCAGGCAAGCAGCAAGGGAAGGCTTGCAAGGCAATCCTGGAATTGGCGGCAAAGTGCTTTTGGCACCGCCTCAAAGTCAGAGAGTCACGGCCGGCAAAGATTCATGCAGCTCTAAAAGAAACGGCATGCAAAATCAGAGTCCTTGCTGAAAGTTTTGGAACTCCCCATGGACACGAGGCTTGATCGGGATGGGCCGCTCCTCTCTGTGAATCCAGCCACAGCCACACCGGAGAAGGACAGGGGCCGTTACAGGAAAGCGAGTCTGGAAACGAGCACAGCTGGCGAAAGCGCTGGAAAACACAGCTAGTCCCCGTCCGTCCTGGTGCACACTGACTAGCCCGAGCCCGAGCATGACAGCCTGGATAAAGGCATCAAACTTGCCCGTGATCTACAATGGTCGAACCCTGACAAATTCTAGCCTCATCTGCTGACTGGAGGAGAGAAGCATGGGGTAGCTGGCATCATGTTTGCCCGAGAAGAAGCTTGAATCACTTCGTAGCTCTTGGGCACGTTGAATCCCGTGCTCGTGTACCAGGATAACAACTCAAACTGTCTGTCAGTCTTTGATGCCGTTTTGGCATGTTTTGGCGAGACCTTGGTAGCGAGACCCCGAACTTCATGATTCATGATAGTGTGAGCTGGTGCTGATTCGTGATGCCATGGTTGACGTTATGTCTTTCTTCTATCCGCCAGAGAGTGACCGCTTGAAAGGAAGTGCACTGTGCCGGCCCGGAACAAGGTAGGGGTGCCTCAGCATGCATTGGCTGGAGAAAGTGGGCCGCAAACAGCCCCTAGCCCCAGCCAACAATTTTCGAACCGCATCAATAGGAATTCGACTGGGCGCCCGCATGGCCATAGGAACAACTCTCTCACACGACCTACATCAACCACAAGCCCAGAAAGCCAGGCCAATCTCATTTTCGCCACCGCATGTCGTGTGGACAGCGCCGGTGGTGAAACAAAGTCAGCCTTGACTTTGACATGGCCGACAGGAGAAACAGCGGAGTTCAGGCGCAACAAGCCCAGAGCCCATGGTCAAGAAACAATTTCACGATTGTGATGGGGATATCTCGATGAAAAGGCTATGCTGCTGGGGCATGCCCTCTTTCCGCACGAAAGTACAACCTGTCCACTGCCCCATATGTGCACATGGGCAGGAAGACTGCACTAAAAGAGCAAGCCAGCGCGGTCGGGGCACTGCCCCGGCACGTAGCCTGGAGCAGAAAGCTAAAACTCTCACTCAATGAGTTGGAACCCCAGACAACCATCCCCTATGGGCCCTATGGTTTACTTCAAGGGAATCTCCTCCCAGCTCAATCCCAGCACCCGGAAAATCATTCCCTATCGCACACTCAAAGGGCCCAATGCGTTCAGGCCACTGACCGCTGATCCCTCCCGGGGGCTGCTGGGCGCATGCCTCAATGACTCAAGAGACCGCTTCGGCTGCAGGACAAGATGGCCACGGGTCAAAAGCCAAATCGTACCCCAGTGAACATCAACCAATCCAACCACTAAAAATAGGTTCTAAAATGGGTGGTGAATTCACCTACCAACCAAAATGGGATCCCATTGCGGTTTTGACAAGCACAGCCATATTGCCACAAGAAAACTCTCCCGAGGCGAAGGCTGTGGAGCATGGTGCTTCAACCAGGCATTCTTCATCTCAGCGCAACAGGGGCTGCCTAGAATTCCCCCAAATGAAAAAGTCGATCGACTTATCCGCTGGCTTCCATTGAAACCAGAAGAACGCCACTGTTGGAGCTTCCATAAAAGGCAAGCTGCGGAAACCGTGGGCTTTTCTGACCGGCCAAGTTGCACCAAGCAGCAAAGTTGCCTAAGCCTTCTGACCGACCTTCACCCGACATCGGCTAAGCTTGGGACTGCGAATCTGGGTGTGGCCCGGTGCTCCTCAGAAGTCACCAGCCTGGAAACGGCCGCGTGCCATCTGAGCGGCTGAAAACAGCCGAGAAAAGCCGGCGAAGAGCAGGTCCGCGCCACTGATTTCGAACACCCCACCAACTAACATGGAACCTGACAGGGGGTTTCTTTGAAAGGAAAATCGTCTTCCAGGATCTTCTATATCAGGTTCCATGTTGATTATTGTGCCTCCAATCTTGCAGCTTCGGCCATACTCAGCCAAGTGGCAATTGGTCCAGCAGGTGATTTGCTTGGCTCGAGATGTGGTCTCCTCTCTCCTGCCAGCTTCAAGTTGCAAAAGGCTTTGCAGCGCTCCCCTTGTCCCAGGCGACTCAAGTCCTGCAAGCTGTGCAGCTTGCCCTTGGTCAAGGCTTTCCTTGGCACTTCCAAAGAAACTCGTGAGGCCACATCGAGGCTCGTGCGGCCAAGGCTCAGAAAGTCATCTCCACGATAGTTGTTTGGATGTTCCGCTATTGCCTTCGTCTTTCGCGGGTATCCTGAACGGCCAATGGGTTCGCAGATCTCAAGCGGCAAGCGACAAACCTCTTTGCACATGGTGCGGCCTGTCAGCAAAAGATACATCACAATGCCGCCTCACAGGCAGTGGCGTCAAACTTGCGAAGCGTTTTATGCGGCTGCACTGTGAGAAAGGGCTGAGCTGATCACATGACCACACGTCGACGGATTCTGTGTACCTTGTCACACGTGACGGCAGCAAGCGGCGGCAGCATCGGTGTTTCTTAATCTGAAACTCCGAGCTTTGACATCCCTTTCATTCCGTTCTCTTTTTAGAGGAGACCATCAAGAATATGTTCTTTTTGGCTCCCCTTTTCAAACGGGTACCCCTAAGACACACACCCATTACTCAGCCGGCAGCTCGCATGGAGCCAAGCTGCAAGCCCTCGTGGACTTGTGGTGAAGCATAATACGGAGTGGTCACCTTCTCCGTCATGGACTCCTCCGGCTCGTGGGAACTTCACGCTGCCCCGGGCCACGTGAAGTTGGCTTAGGAAATCAAAGACGTTGGCAACAGGATTGCACACATGCGAAGGCCGTAACCGTTAAACCGCTGATCAGAGCCACGACGCCGTTGGCTGAAACTGGCTTCAGGTGGGTGTCCGTTTAGCACGCCCACCCGCTTGTATCTTGAGCATTTGTTCACAGGCAAGCTCGTTTTTCCCATTTGCTACCATCAGCGTGATGGCAAAAAACAAAAAAGACACGAGATGCATCAAAAGTCAAAAGCAAATGATCAGCAAACAGCAAGTGGGTTCACCAAAAGTCAAAGACTACATGCGCCTGTGACATGTACTTGGGCCAGGCAGCTCGAACAATCTAAGGCTCGGGCTCCAGGAGTGAACAAGCATGCCGTTGCAAAGTCACACCTGAGACATGATCAAAACCGATCGGTATCAAAGTATGTTAAACTGGTCTACCCAGAACCATGTGAAGAGTCGAAAGGCGGCTGCACACATCTGTGGTTGAGACTATCCCTTACTAACCTTCACCTACCCGGGTTTTGATTGTGGGTCACCTAACGTTGGACGGTCACACTGGGCAAGCAAACTTCAAAGTATCTCGGCCAGCGGCAGCTTGACCTCTGCCGAATGCGCGGGCGACCGCTCCTCGGCACATGAAAGAACAAAGTGCTGGCATATATGTGTGTGTGTGTGCGCGTCTGTAATTACCCCTGCCTTGATCAGAACATGCTCTGGCTTGATATCACGGTGACACAGCTTCCTGGCAGGAAAGCAGGCTTTCCCGCAGCATTCTTGGCGTGGCGGCACGTCGCTTTCTGGGCTTCACGCTCGTATTTTCCCTGCTTGCGGCACGACTTGCGGCTAGGCAAGCACAAACTGGCACGAGCTTTCTTTCAGGGTCCCTGGATGACCTACTTTGAATCACTGACACGAAACACGCCCAGGTGCCACGATGTTGACCCCTATCATACATGTCCAGGGTTCCCGAAAGCACTCAAGCGCCGCCAAACTGATGCAGGATTGGCAGGGATCCGCAGCCCAAAGCTGCAGCGCCTTGCCCAAGCCCACAAAATCTGGAATGCAGAAGCTTGCCTTTCACCCTGTTCTCCTTGGCGATCAGGCAGCACTTTTCGGAATGCCACCAAAACTTACTGATTCAGCAGGGAAAGAGGGAATAACCTCTAGAAAACAACCATCCATCCCATTTTGCAACAAAACTCACAGATGAATAAAATTTCCAACACCCTGAAAATCGTTTTGTCATCCGAAACCATCCATCCCCTAGGCGTCCTTACGAACATCCCCAAAACCGCTTCAAATGTTCCTTCAGCCGCCGGAAGAACTCGTGGTCATTCCCTCTGCCAGCGGACTCGGCGCGTTTGTACACATCAGCCGGAGGCCAAAAGCCGTGCCACCGCCTCCAAGCGGGAGCGCGGCACCGCCACAAGCCTTGGAAGAGAAGCTGCCCGCGGCTTCACATCGTTCCTTCCCAGTTCCTTCCCCTTTCATCCTCCCTCTAGATCCCATAAAGCCTGTGTCCCTTCTCTTTTGGCCTTTTCTCCCCAACATCTTTCCTGCCTCTTGGGGCTTTCTCCTTCCCCCGTTTCCTTTTCGAGGCGCACATGGTCCTCCGGAACCGCCTCCGGCAGCTCCCGCCCCGGCGGCGACGCGGACCTCGCCGACCATCGCCACCGCTTGGGGCTGTGGGGCTGCCAGAAGCCGCCGAAGCCGCTTGGCCGCTCCTGGCTTGCGGAAAGGTCGAGAGAGATCTGCGCGAAAACAAAATTTGTATATATGTAAATAATAATAATAGTAATAATAATATTAAGAATCTAAAAAAAAAAAAAAAAACTCAGACTCGCCCCTTAACATTCTAGAAACCGGCTTGAATTTGCGCTTTTGGCCAGCTCTTCCCCCCGGTGGGTCTTTTTTGTTGGTACTCTTTGACTATGTCCACAAGGGTGGATCCACAAGAGTCACATCCAAACCATGTTCTGCAGACGTGGCTCCTGCCGCCGCAGGCGTTGGCTCGAGTCAGCCATGCGCTGCGTTGCCAGGGAGAGCTTCTGCTCCCAGCGCGCCTCGCGCAGCCACAGGGAGTCCTCGATGCTCCTCAGCGCGCTTCACGCGCGTGGAAGGAAACGAGAAAGTTGGTGGACGGCAAAAAGCGAGGGCAGCGCAATGCGAGGAACGGCAAGCGGAAAGAGGAAAAGGGATAGAACAATCGCAGGTATCTTGGGTGACCCTACATGCCAAATAAAGTTCACATAGGATCTAGGATGCTACACACATAATTGCTTCCTGGTGAAAGCTGGAACCCATGTATTAGAACCCCTTTACGGTCCCCTGAGTAGCAAGGAATCCGAATCCATCTGTTCCTGTTGCTGGCCGTGCGACGCATCCGGTTCCGGAGTGGGGCCGCCTGCTGCGTCTGCTGGCGCCTGCAGCGGCGGCTGGAAGTAGCGCTCCGAATGGTGCCACAAGCGCCAGCGCCTCGGAATGTCCAAAAGAAGCGCAGTGGGACGAATCTCGGCGTATTTTCTCCAAATTGGTGGGGGTCACTTTCAGGAAAAAGAACTCGTGAGTCGTGACTGCATCCTGGGCGCATGTTGTTCTGACGGCGGTCTCGGCTGTCCCTTTCAGAGTCCACACGCTGTTCAAGGAGTCGCAGCTTATTCGAGCTCTCCGCAAGGCCAAAGGTGGAACCTCAGGAACTCACAAAATGAATGTGCCGTGGCCAATGTGGGTGTCGTTCTTTTGTTTAAGGGTTCGACCCCGAGATGGTGATGTTCCCGCTGGTCTCCCTTTAAAACCACCAAACAACCCAAACTGGTGATTGTGAATTTGAAATGGGCATATGCGGAATGGGTGTGGCATCAGTATGAGGCTGAGGGGGGGAGGGGGTTAGGGTGGCGTCGGCATGCGCCCCATGTCTGCACCTTCTGCTCGCTGGGTCTCCTGACGGCTGCCCTCAGGCACAGGAGGAAGATCCAAATGCTGCTGGCATTGCGCGCCTGCCGCGCATTGCACCATTCGGTACATTTGATCCATCGACCTTTTGACCCATCCCGCCTTGAAAATGGTGGTTGGAGTGGTGGCTCGAGTGGTGGTCATGGTGATGGCAATGGCGGCTGTGGCCGTGATGCATTACATGAAGCATTCCTGAGCAAGCAGGATTGAAGTCCACGCACACACTGCTTATATAAGATAGATACAAGTAGATTTATATGTATATACACTGTTGATCTGCACTGCCCCGCTTGTTTTGACAGAATGCGGGTCCAGCTCAAAGCAAAGCGTCCTGCGCTCGGCGGCATGCCGTGCCCGGGCGGAACAGTGTCTACCTCAGCACACGAGAGCCTAACGAGACCATGTGAGTCACAATCAAAACCAGGAATTAAAATGGTCTACCCAGAACCATGTAAAGAACGACAAAAGGCAGCTGCACCCATTTTGGGTTGGGACTATCCCTTACCAACCTTCACCTACCCAGGTTCTGACTGTGGCTCATGTGGAGGCCTGTGCAACGCAAGTATATATATATATATATTTATGTATTTAAGCTTAAAATTATAGCGCCAGCCAGGTCACTTCTTCTGCCCGGCTGAGCGCAGCCAGTGCTTCAGCTGTAAGCGATGGAAAAGGGGCCACAGTCTGACCTGCAAGCGCCAATGGAATCTGGACGCAATTCAAGAAGAAGGCATGTCAAACGGATTTCTGCAACGAACCTCCGCTTTGTTCCACTGCCGGAGCCGATGCTTCATGAGGGAAGCCGCTGCAAAAGGTTAGATCGGCCATGATGTCCTGTCCAGGCGGGAAACTGGCTTTCAAATTACTGGCCTTGCGAGCCATGCCCCTCACTGGCCTGCACGCTGCGTGGCCCGGAACGAGGATTCCACACACCCCACGTGCGAGACCAAGAACAGTTGGAGTTCCATGATGCGGTGTTGATCTCACCTCACTGGAAAACGACTGGCACGCCAGCAAAATGCCAGCCCGCTCTTCCCCTAGACTTTAAGGCTCGGCCGGCCCGGCGCAGCCGAGGGGCAAAGATTTAGGGCCTCTTCCACGGAGCCGCGTGAGCTTCGTGATGCAACCTCCGCGTCTCTCGCACGATGCGGTGCGCTCTGCGAGCCCCACGAGGCCTTGCGCAACGCTGCGCTTGGCTCTCATGCGGAAGGCGCATGGTTTACTGGCCAGTGGAGGTGCCAAGGCGCAGTGTTCACCTCACAGAAGTTCAAGGCGCACGCCTTGAGACAGCCGCGTGAGAACGTGGCTTACTTTGGAGATGCATGTAAAGGTTGTAAAAGATGGAGACGTTATCGAAGCACAATAGAAAGCCATTTAGAAATTAAAATAATATGTGAAAGAAATGTTGAAGACAACATTTTGATATCTTTATCTGTTTAAAACATTCCACCTTATCATTGTGTTAGAGCATTTCTGAAAATCAGTGAGCCCAACTATGAGATGATACAATCTATGTTCTGGGTATTAGTTTGTCGCAATAGGGACCTCTTGGCCCGCCTCCTCCCGACCCCGCAGCGGCTGACCTCAGGGTCCACTGTTAGATCCGTGTTGCTCGACGTGGGCGAAGTGTTGAGAGCTGCAAAACTCAGATGGGTATGGGTCAAAATTAAGCCACCAGGGGACCGCAAATTTTGGTCCTTGGTTCCATTTACCAGGTACCTATTTTTGACCCACAGCCAGATGCCTTCTCTGTTTGAGCGCTCCGGAGGTTTCAGGCTACCCCGCCTGGAGAGCTACTGCGAGCATCGGGCGCATGTGCACCTCGCTCCTGCCAATGATAAACATCTCCAAAGGTCCTCCTGGCCTGTGGCATCTGTGAGTCCTCACTGGAGCGAGAGCCAGAAACATCGCGACTCCCGCACTCGGCCTGCAACAGCGCAGCAAGTCAGCCATCAAAGCACGCACAAAGCACTTCTGAAAAAGCATGCCAGCCGCACCACATCATCGAGTTCACGCACTTTACCATTCTCATCCACCTCACAAGCCGTTGCAAGCAGCGCTTGGAACATTGCCGTGTTGATTGCCATCATGACGCGCCAACAAACCTCGCCATACCACATGAGTCATAGTCAAAACCTGGTAGTACAATGGTTTACCCGAATTCCATGTAAGGAAATCAAAAGGCGGCGGTAGCAATTTCCGGCTGTGGCTCGCATGCCGGCTGTGCAGCCGCTTGCCGTAGGCAATGTTTCCTAGGAAGCAGCTCAGCTAGTGGGCCATCCTATCGGATTTTGGCACGACCATCTTTTGACACAAGGACAGACAGACCCACACTCCTCGCAGGACAAAGCAAGCGCTGAGCGGGTGCACTTGAGTGGTGTGCTTATCATTTAACAGGCATGTGTGCAGTGCTGGGCAGGTGCCGTGCCTATTTGAAAGGCATGTGTGCTGAAGGGGCGCAGTTGGGCGGATGAACTTTACAATTTGGCAGGCATGCACGCAATGCTGACCGAGCGCATTCGGGCGGCTGCGCCTACCACGAGCAGCTGTGGTTCATTTGGAAAGCACGTGTGCGGCGCGCTTACCATATGCACAGCGTGGTGGCAAACCGTGTCGTATTACGCTGTTACGCTGATACGCTGATACGCTGGTCACTGTCGCCTTACGCTGTTACGCTGTTACGCTGGTCTCCGTCAAAAGAAGATACGTACGCTGGTACGCTGTTACGCTGGTTCACGTCAGATGCACTGGCTACGCTGATTACGCTGGTTACGCTGATTACGCTGGTTT